TCTTTTTTTATTATTGACACTAAGATTATTGAAGTTATTTTTAAGATATTAAATATTTTATTTATAATTAATGACAATTCAACAATTTTAGTAATTAATTTAACTTAAAGATATTTTAATAAAGTTTTATTAAACAAAAATTGTAGAAGCGATATAAATATGTAACACATATGATAAATTCTTTTACTTAGAATAGTATGTATTTAATGTAAGTAAAATAATTTATTTTGTAATTTAATTCCTAAAAAGTATGAGAGACATGCTTTGTGGCGATTTTTGAGGTGTTACTCGAAATTTTGATATCAATCGATTTTTAAAATCGCCATAACATTTTATAAAAATGTAGAATTATAGTTAAATTAATTGAGGTACTTGATTCGATGTCGATAAATAACATTCAATATGCCCTACCCAGTATTAAAACTGATAATGCAATATTTATGTAAAGTTGATGAAAGTAGGTTAGTGTGGGAGATTTATTCTACAATGATTATAGTACAGAGGTGAACCATATGTTATTAATTACAAATAATATGAATGAATTGTGATAGAATCACTTTTCGGGTGTACATATTTTTTTCTCTAAAAGTCGCTTACTTCTCTAGCTCGCTAACTTTGGCTAACCGGTCATGTAAAAACATCGTTAAAAATAAAGAAATATGCTACGTAGGGTATATGAAATTCATTAACAGAGTTACCTAATAACTACCCCCCAGGGAAGAGGTTTTGGTGGTTGGAGGGGGGGCGTTGTTGACAAACATCACCCCGTAATGTGCTACTGTTGAATTGCAAAAATCTCATTATGCTCTAACCGTCGTTATAAAAGTAATTAACTATCCTGAACAGTGAGTGGAGAGGACACATTTTGTCTAGTATTTTTTTAACTAGTTCCAGATACTTTCACATGCAAGACTTCAAATATGTATAGTTTATCTCTGTATTTATGTTTGTTAGGAAATTAGTTATGAACTCTGAGTTTATTCTGATGCTGTTGAGTCTAGAAGTTGGATACAGGAAGATTAAACAAAAAATATCACCTAACAACAAGATAGTACAATTCATAATCAAAATGAAACACTAGCCAAATACCGAATACTGTAGAATAAATATTTCCTAGAAAAAGAAGAAAATTTTGTTTGTTGCTTTACGTCTTATATAGTTGAAAGATTCCATTTAATCAATAATAATACAATTCTATGCTCACCCATGAGTAAAGGATGAATCCTTGAAGGTCAAGACAGCTTAATATAAATCGTAAACAATATATTATTTTTTATTTTATTTAATAAGCACATGTCTACAAACTGTTCCAGTATTATGTTCGTTCTTAACTGCATATCCATTGAGAGATAACAAAATTTAAAATAAACTAACACAAGCAAGTACATTGGATTTAAAAACTTCTAATCTTACAATTCAAACGATAACATCAAACAAACGTTTCATAAATGGCACCCGTAAACAATTGTTGAAGTATATCTGAATAGAACTTAGTTCTTGTGTTGAATTTGTTAGCTAAAAGCAATTCCACGGTTGGCTCAGTGCGACGGTAATTGTGTTTCGTGTAACGAGTTTTTTGGACGCGCCTTCGTGGTTTGCTGTCACTTTTGTTGCGTCCACTATAGATTCGGCAAAAATAAGTAAAGCTCAGAAACTAATATCGACCAGACAAACGTTTTAATATCCAGTCATAATAAGTATTGTTCACAATCAAGTACTGCACACTAAATAATAACTCATCATTTGTTTTCTTTGTTGTAAAACGTCTGTGTTTGAAAATAAAGACAGCCATATACAAAAATATTTTTTATTTTATTCAGATCATCCCAAAAATATTTCAAGGTAAGTAACAATAACATTTAAGCACTACTTAAATTATCTCAGCCATTAGACGTCGAAGGTAAGTTCGGATCATAATTTCTTCCAATTTCCATTTTATTTACTTTTGTCTTCTTTGGTTTAGATTCGAATTTCGAATTCGCTGTCGAAATTCGTCGCTTCTGTACTTGTGGAAGTTTGGATTTCGAACGGACGAGTTTTAGCTGCGAATTATAATAAAAAACATATAAATTTATCGGTTAATTACATGAAATCTATAAATAATAAACATTACAGAATACAGATGAACGATTAGTTACGTGCTGAGTTGGAAACGTATATCAATTAAGCATATCATTTTAACTTGAAAATAGCGATTGCATAAATAACAAGATTCATAACCTCGCTAGTTAGGGATTCAGAATCGAATTTAAATTAAAATTGCTATTAAAAGAGATTCGCAATGTAATATGTGGTCGGTTATTATTGTAACTACGGTTAAACATATTATGTGATTGTGCCAAATAAAATGTTATATGAATAAAAGGTTTATTTACAAATTCAAATGAAACTTTCATGTACTGAGAAAAAATATAAAAATCTTTTTTTGTGTTTTAATCTTTACGTTTTTTGGCAAAATCAAAAATGTTTCTTATTTAAAATATTTCATTAAGACGGATGAAGATTTTATTATGATGTCTAAGACTATCGTGACAGCACGTTTATTATAAAACAATGTTTTTCGGATATACGTCGTATAATAGTTTTTTATCGTCTTGTTTATGGATTTCAGGAAACCCACACCAACCAACGAATAAGAGGTCTTTAAGGATCAGTGCTTTATGGAGCAAACAATTTGCTCTGTTCAAAATAAACCCTTAATATATAAACGGTATGAAAATAACATCTTCACAATAAAACATGTGCTTTCCTGAGCCATTTTAATTCAATCAATAGTAAGATTTAATTAACTATAGAATTAGAGACAAGTATAGTCGGTTAGACTTAAGCCGAGCTTTGCATTTGTGTGAGTGAAAGTAAAAGTAGAGTTAGACAAAAACTTTTAGATTTAAATTTTATTATAATTTAAATAGATACATAACATAAATGCTATAAAATAAGCAAAACTTGTAAAAGTCCAGATAGAAATATTTTGAATATTGAGGGAAAAAAATTATCGATTAATAAGAATTTTGAAAAAACTATAAATTCTTATTCACTTGACATTGCGTTTTCAACATTTGATATTGCTACCAGTACAAAAGGTGAAGTGAGGAAGGTGCGGGGCGAAGTAAAAGCAGTACAAACCGGTTTAAAACTAGAAAAGAACGTTTTATTCAAAAATTTGACATCTCACCTACACTATCCGTTTGCACTCACACAAATGCAAAGCTCAGCTTAAATCAAACGCACTATAATTCTTTAGCTGTACTTGTTATGCTTGTTATTAGGAAACCTGACAATACTTTGAATATACTGAGTGATGATATCTCAATGGAAAGTCACAGTCACATAGACAATAATGTACAGTCAACAAATCTTAGATCAAAATTACTCAATATCTATGCGATGCTGAATATCTAAACAAACTGTTTGTGCCTCGCCAGCATCGCAGGAACCACTTGAAGCCACCCACAGTTGAGCGACAACCTGCAATACTACCATATGTGAAGGGAGTTACTGACAGAATAAGCAACATCTTGAAGAAGGTTGCAATCAAGACTATATAGAAACCACACAAGAAAGTGAGCCAATTCTTGAGACCAATCAAGAGTACCATTCCTTTACACAAGCCGGTGTATACAAACTCGATTTTGACTGTGGCTTGTCATACATTAGACAAAGAGAAGCATCGGTACAAGGGCCAAAGAACACATCTCAAACATCAAAAATAGGCGCGCGTCGAAGACAGCAGTATGTGAACACACAATGGACAAATAAGGAACTACATTTGGTATGATAGACCAGAGGGCTTTTCGCTCTTGAAAACAGATACATGCCGAGATTAATCTATAAGGCTATTAAAATTATGAAAACATCCTAAATTTAATAACGACGATGACTAGAAATTATGTAACATCTAGCATAGATTCATCAAAAATATAAAATCCCACGGCGTGACCACAACGCAAGACATAGGGCATTCTGTGTGGATCCAATTCAGAGAAAGAATATTAAGAAATCTTTGGCGGTAGATAAAAAATAAGACTTACAGACAGACACTTTGATAAGGTCTGCCCGTGATCACGGTTACTGTAAACTCTTAGGTAATAAATGGTTGGGAAAATGTAAATAAAATAATAAATGCTCATAATATGTCCGAAAAACATTGTTTTGGTAACAATATACATATATATGTTTTATAAAAATATTACTATTTTTATCTATAGATATTTTAGCAACTCAACCTCAATAACCATTTTCTATACTTCTGATTACATTAAATTAAAGTGAATAATAATAAAAGTTAAAATTATATATAAGAGAAACATAAAACTGGAAACGCTCTGTAAGGATGCTGCTTTTTGTTTTGAAAAGAGTGAGAGAATCGTATTTACCTAAATGATTATTATAAAAAGATTTATTTAGGATTTTTTTAAATATTATAAAACTAGTTTTTATCCGCGACTTCGTCTGTCTTAGTTTCCGAATTATAAATATTTAGCTGACCAGGCAAACTCTATTCCTCCTTAAAAACAGTAGGTAGATAAGAAGATTTTGGATTTGATCAACTTATTTTTTTCTTTTTCAATCGGATAAAAAGTATTCTATGTTCTTTCCCTCGTTCTATAGCGCTACTTTCCCGCCAACTTCCAGCCAAACCCGTACAGTCGTTCTTGAGTTATAAATAGTGTAATTAACACGACTTAAAAATATATATGGGATTTTTATTTTTATAATGTGTAGAGGTTTATTTTACGTAATGTTATTAAAAATTGTTTTATATAATATAATACAAACCAGTGATGGGTTTCTTCTCACTAGAAGTTTAACATCGTCTATGGTTATTGTAGAGCGGGATGCGTGTCTGTGGTAAAAAAAGTTAAAACTCATTTTAATATACATATTTTCAAATAGACTTAAAATATACTCTTAATATTTTTAAGTTGATGTTATACGATAAAGACTCATTGCAAAACACAGTTTACAAATTATATGTATTTATGTAATTTATTAAATATTCAATAAATCCAGTACTTAGCAAACGCCTCCAAATCTAATCCATATGTTAACAATTTCTTATAAACAAGTTCTGCTACTATGGCCACTGGTCCTGAGTTTATAGAGAAACCGTTGTAGTGGCATGTGTCTGTACATATCTTGTTCACGTCTCTGTGAAGCGCGACTCTTACTTTCTGAAACAAAATTATTAATAACGCCATCTGTTATCACTGCTTGTAATCACTTACACCAATAGTTTAGCAAGAAGTTTACAGATGGCAAAGAAAATATTTAATCGAGCTAATGTTTATAACATATCAAATACCCAAACAATTACTTAATGAGTATAATCATTAATCAATATGATATTCGAGTTTTAAAATAATAATGTCCTTAGTATGTTACGTAAAAATAACATCGAAACTTAATAAAAATAAAGTAAGAGAAATTACCTTATCAGTTGTTAATTCTTCATATGTAGTCATTTTACACTACTTTTTTTAGCTTTAACACAAATTACAGTGTATTCAACAAATAAAAACACCAGTTAACAACAGGATTGTGTTCATAACAACAAAATAACAAAACATAACCTAAGTTTTGAAGTGGGTGTATTTTTATATTTATACAAACTGTAGTACTATACTAATTCATACGAGAAGTTATTTGTCTATGTGTATTATCTATGGTTAAGTCAAGTAAACGGAAGCCGTTAGTGGTTTACCGTAAAAGTGTATTTTTTATAATATAAAAACAACAATATAATTTGTATTGAGACCGAAGGCCAAACCATTGATTGTTATTTAACTTCCGGTCTTATAATTCAAATCCAATACTTTTAAACAAAATCCTTATTATTTCTCTTTATGAAATTTTTATCAAACTTTGAATAATATATTTTAGTATTATAGGTATGTACTTTGTAAATTAATTTTAAACAATTTGTAAAACTTTGATAAATCTACTGACATAAGATTAACACTTAAACTTTGATTTAATAATAATGAAAACACAGATTTGCTTGGTCGTAAACCACTCCTCACTCCAAAATGTAATATATCAAATATTTTTGCTTCGTCGAGATTAACAATTAATATCTATATGGCATATAATCCTTTATGTCCGCTCGTTGTATATTTGTGTGAGATGATCCACTACACAGATTAAAGTTATATTAAATTTCATGAACCGGTTGAATAAAACTAAACAAAGTTTGTTGTCACTTGTCAGTGGGTAAAGACAAGTGCAACAAGTCAGTTAGAATTGTCACAATTGACAGCTTTATTAAAAGTATCTACACAACAGATAATTTTGTGTACCTTGTATTCCATAGACTGTGTTATATATAATTTATATATATATTTGTTGTGTTAAGTTTTAAAGTATCTAAGTAATAGCGGAATAAATAATATAATAGTAGTATTAATAATTATGCCCGAAACTGATATAACGTAAAAGTAAAATTAAATAAAACCCATATTGCATCATGGAGTTGCTTTAAATTTATCGCCCTTTTTTACTGTGGATAAACGTTTGGAAAATTTCATGAAGTTAATTTAGTAGCACTTTTATAACTTGCTTAACAACGGAAGTTCCAAAAAGGAACAGTAGGGTGAGACGAATCATATAGCTGTTAAAGGTATAATTATCCTATACTATATGAAAAACGTCGCTGGTAAATAGGTAAGCTTCCTCCAAGTTATCACGATAAGAGGTTTAATGTTTACACTACAACGTATTTTCCAACAAAACAAAACAAACTTTCGGAATTTTTCTGACATAAAATCATTATTCAAAAATCATTTCAGTTATAATTGCGTCAAGGTATTTTAAAATCGCTTTTAAATTCATAATAAGAACAAATATAATAAAAAATAATACTCGATTTGGACAAGACAAATTATATTAATTACAATGTGACGATTGATAATAATTTTTAGATATTTATTTATAATTATTGCCAGTTTTAGGCAAGGGTAACTTGAAATACGTGTTTAGTATAATGTATTAAGCCCTGACGTAAAGAAAATGGGGTATAAGATAAACATTGATGTTTGTTTGTGTCTGTCTGTGGTAATGTAACTCTAAAACAAAAGTGGTTCTATTTGTAAGCCATCTACCATGCGGTAGTTATGCCAAGTTTTGTTTGGTCAATAAAAGTCCAGTATTCCAAGCAATTTTATAAAGTAATACTGCATTTTTTGAGTATGATTACTATATTAAGTGCGACAAGCATACTAGTATAATCGTAGTATGAAAATTAATTCATTTTTTTAAAATATTACCAATTTTTTCTATTCTTTTATTTCGATCTAAGTTATTTTTGTTTGATAGAAATAGTTTCATTTTATTTTAAACAAAAAAGTAATTTCATTTCATTAAGGCACAAAATCTCTTCAATTACTAAAACTATTAAATTTTAAGAATTAAATATTAATTAATATCCTTGAAAGCCTAATATTTCTTCCATTATGTTACAAGAATGCTTTTTAACACCAAATATATGTACTTTAAAATTAATGATGACAATCATTTTTTAGTCTGTTAATATTGTTACTCCTTAAAGTTGGAATAATTATAAAAAACATTATGTAAAAAACAAAATCTTTTATTACGTAACACTGTAATCAACCACGCGCTATCTTACTGTCACTATTTAATAATAAAAATACATTTGTATATAATATGCATATAGTTTCGTTGCTTGTACATAACTACTAAATCATTATGTGAGGAAAAACAATTTCTTTTATTGTGCATCATTTATTGCTCTTAAAACAATATTCAGAGTATTAAAAAAATATGATTAAAGAAATAATGATGATTAATGTATTACAAAGGAAAGCTATAGTTGAAATATTTTTTATGAACCCACAATAATTCTGTATAACATTGAATCATCAACATGTATATTTAAATAGTTCTCTTTTATTGTCTATAGCTATAAAAATAAAGCCAAACAAATGTGAGTTTATTAAACAATAGGATTTACATATATATTTATATGTGTTATATAGGTATATGTTAGACTTTTTTCACAATCTGCACAACATCTTCGTCAGCCAGGATATGTTCAATGCCAACTTTCTGCGGTTGATGTTTAACAGATGAACCCCATACTAAGGCACTGAAATTTAAAAATAATATGATTAACTAAAAGCTGGTATAACAATAATATAACACCCTGTATGACACATAGAAAGTGAAACAAAAAGATATCACTATTGAGATTTTGACATAAATTTTGATAATAATCTATCATGACATACGAGAGGTGAATCAGATTGTATGATTTTATTTATTTGAATTGAATGACACTACCACAACAGAGCTTGATGCCCACAGTTATAATTTTTTCATGTAATAAAGTAATATTATAGTGTACTATTATAAAATAGTATAGTATAAAAAGATATTATAAAAACAATTTATTATTAGTAAGAATGTAATAATGTAGTTTGATCAGTATCATGGGTAGAGCAAATAGTGCTTATTTACTTAGGCCAGTAATAACTGACTCATAACAAAGATTGCTGATATTGTTGATATACTTCTTAAAATGGAATTCAAATATTTATTGCGAGATGTTCAAAATAGAGCTAAGTATGTCTGTACTTGACTTCATCTCATGACATACATGACAAAATACATGTTATCAAATTTCATGGCTCCTCATCCTTATAAAAAGTATTAAAAGTTAAATTTTTTTGTTTGGCACATTGTTGAAATACAAAAAAAATAATTATGAGTATATCTACATGTAACTGGATTGTATAACTCTTATGTATTAGTTATGTAGATTACTTTATTATATTAGTTTCTGTCATTTGGTCTTGTTACTCAGCATAATACCTATATAAAGAATTTAATATAGTTATTGGATACTACAATAAAATACAACTTACTATTTGAACTCCTTAACTATAGATCTATGCAGTTTGTTACAGAAGTCTTCAACGCTTGTTCTATCAGCATGCAACACAACAGGTGCATTATAATCAGGCAACTGTCCCTTCGGCTTTGTGTATATCCTAATTAGTTTTAAATATTCCCACATTTTCTCCAACAAGTCATCAAAATTCCATTTATGGTGAGCTGATATAGGCACGCAGTGTGGTATCTTGTATATAACATCTAATTCTTCTATGCTTATTTGATCTATGAAATTAAATTATGTGTAATTTTAATTTTTGAACTATTATCTGTATTTGTATGTTGTTTTAGATGAAATCTTTTTTAAATGATTTGTTATGTAATCTTGTCTTACTATCCAAATATAAACATATTTAATATTAATTAAAATGTATAAAAAGTTACATTATGAGTGACATAGTTAAGGATTCTTCATATTTATGACACAAAAAGGTTAATAAGGGAATGACTATTGATAAAGTTAAAAAAGTTGGAATATAAATAGATGTATATTAAAAAAAACTATTTAGATTTGATATACTATCTTGAATTCTATATCTATAGTATATTAGTTTCACATATACATAGTTCTGGACTCACCAATCTTATTCAACAGATAAATGCATGGTACATATATTCTATTTCCTTCAATGACATCAATAAGGTCATCACTGGTGGCATCATATCTCAGAGTTATATCTGCATTATGAATCTTGTATTCAGAGAGGATCGTTCTAACAGTTTCATAGTCGAGCTCTGATTGTGGACACTGGAAGTTTATGAAGAATTTATATAGAAATTATTAAATGAAAAATTATAATATGACTCAATTGTTAAAGCCAATGGAACACCATATTCCAAAGGTAGTTGCTTCAAATACTGTTAATACAAGTTTATGGCTTAACATTGTCTTAACTCTTAATGTTAAAAAATATTTATTCAACATAAATAATATCATTTATCTCATTCATCTTTCAGTTCATATATCAGTTAAACTTTGCATTTTAACTTCTCTTAAACAACAATAATTAATAATTTCAGAAAGATAACAGCATGTTTAAAATTTTTTCTTTATATAGCTAGATAAGTTAGTTTAAGATGAAGGTTTGTAAGTTAAAATCATATATAAATATACCTCTAAGCATTTCTAGAGTTTTAATTTTTTTTTTTATATATTAACAAGACCCAATGTCACCAACAAATGTTAAATGAATGATGTTTTGCTAAGGCAGTAAATGAAAGATGTTTCAGCATCCCATCACCCACTAATGTCTGTTTTAATATCTTAACAAGACATTCATATTAATTCTTGCTCTAGAGGACCGATATTTAACAATGATTTTAAATAATATGCATTTTTATCAAATCAGCATTAAGAAAAAGACTTACTGTGTTGTTCAAATTAATTCCTCCTTTGTCTTTTTTTCGAAAGTGTATGTTTGGTGGTTGCTTATTTAATCTAAGGCCGAATCCTTCCAACTCGTGTTCTAGAAGTTTCTTATGCTGAAGGGGTTTTAATACGTCAAGTACTATGAATATAAGACTACATGTACGAGCGACGGCTATGACTTGACGACCTCTTCCTTTACCATCCTTGGCACCTTCAATGATACCAGGCAAATCAAGCAACTGGAAAATTAACATATAATACATATAAAACATGATGTTCATTAATTAAACTATTATTAAATAAAACTTTAAAATATACAGAGAATGACACCCAATACTCTCACGGGTATTCATTTAAATGAAATTAATGTTTTCCGATTACCATGCATATTTTATTATTTTTACAAAACTACATACTACCACTGTTTCAGTTACTTTGTCACAACCATGATCATGGGCAGAATTTTTAAAAATAATTAATTATTTTGAAAATAGAAGTTTAATTTATTTAAAGAGAAAATACATAATGGACCTTTAAAGACATAATTATAAAGATATTTGATAGGATTGAGGATGCAAGAAATCTTATTATTCACTAGATAAAGATTTTTTTATATTATTTATATTCTTTTACACTAAAAATATTTAAAGTAACCTGGATTTTAGCTCCTTTATATTTAATACAGCCGGGAACTGTAGTTAACGTTGTGAACTCATAAGCTGCTACTTCTGAGTAAACACCGGCCAAGTTGGATAAGAGAGTTGATTTTCCCACCGATGGAAACCCAACAAAACCAATACGAGCATCACCAGTTTTTGCAACATCAAAACCTTAAACAGTCACAAGATAAAATACATCTTTTATTCAGTACATAATGATTTCTATTCGAACAATTAAACTAAAAGTGTTTAATATATTTAAATACACAGCAGATTTCCATTAATCTTTATTATTTAGTGTTATTGTAGTTACTTGTTACTTATTATTTATTATACATAAGAGAGAAAGACAATAATAATACATTTTCTTGACATTAGTTTTATGATGATAATTTTATTTTAATCAGCTTACCTTCACCAGTGGCACCGCCGCCACCTTTAGGTGTAATAAGTTCACGTCTTAGTTTAGCTAGGCGAGCTTTAAGTAACCCTAAATGCAAAGCCGTAGCTTTATTTTTTTGTGTCCGAGCCATCTGTAAAATGTAGGCATCATTTTGATTATTAGTCTGCACATATCAGATATTCTACACTAAATAACCAAGGACGTTTGAAATGCCAGGAAGATTGATGTATAGAAGTTATAACCTCATACAAACCTCGGACTCTATAGCGGCAATTTTTTCCAATATAGTACTCATTTTTACAAAATATATTAGTACTTATAACTTGCTCAATATAAAAATAAATAAGTTTTATTGTTAATTCTTATCGTATAGCTTAGAATTAGAGAGGAAGCGTGTCAATCTGCTTAAACTGTCGGTTCTCGAAACTCGGCGCGGAGACAGCTCACACTTCACCGATATACAACTGACATTTGATAGTGATGTAATCACATAATATCATCTTTAGCACTTCATAAATATTTTTGTTTAATCTTAAGATATTTTAGAATATTTTCAATTACTAGATTGAGGGCGAAAATTTATAATTATATTTATCAATATCTTTTTAATTTAAAAAAGAAACTTTACATTTCTGCCTGTTGGTATACGGAAATAAGTAGTTTCGATCATATATCATAGAGGGCTCTACTTGGAGGCAGCAAAAGTATAAATGCTCATCGATAGAGGGCTCTTGTTTCAATAATAATAATCTGTAACAAACCACGTAGAAATGCTTTTGCCGCAGGTTTGCGCATCGTACAAAGTCGGTGAAGAAGAAACTGTGGGAAAACTGGGAGAGTGTTAAGGGGACGCTAGAAACATGCTTCAGTTACACCTTGCTCGTCCAGTCGGATGTATGTCGCGCTCCGCGCTGTTTTCAAGTTTACGTAGTTAACGATACCAAGTTTACGAACTCAGAATTTGGGATCATTTATTTCTTGTATTTTTTTTGTAATAAGTTCAGTGTTAGTTTAGAAAATTGACAATTCTCGTATCAAATTATTTTGTCATGTTTTGAGCGGCTTTAATTTAGGGATGTAATATTGTGTTTTGCCAGAAAACAATTTAGGTATGTACTTATATATACCTTTTGATTGTAATTTCTTTATAATATTTTATATCCTGTATAGTAAATTAGTATCAAAAATAATAATGCTTTAAAATTTAATCTGTTGCCAATTTTATTCTAGCTGTGTTTGCAATAAAATATTTATCAAATAATTTTAGTAGGTAATAAATATTAAGTAGGCAAGTGTTTGCATTACAAGAACTTAAAAGTATTTTTCATTGTTTCAGATATAAATTATATTGTGCATCGGCTTACTATAATAAAAGCGGACGTTAAAAATACTTTTGTGTAGCATGAATTAAGTTAAATCATGAATTCAAGTCTTCGTGGTGACTGGCCATAAAGAGCACGATTAAATCTTAAAGAAATAATGTTACAGAAAAAGTGTTAAATAGAGCTATGGGGTTTCTTAATTTAAAAATATTTTTTTGAATATCGAACAATGTCGTCGGAGGTATCGTTGAACGGACTTGATAGACCAAGTTTTCTTCGTAGATTTAGTACGGCCTGCATTAGGGCAGCGTGTTCACAGATTGGTTTGGTTATTTTAGTGATAGTTTATGTGCTTTTTGGTGCATTCCTTTTCGAATATCTGGAGTCGGTGCCGGAGACTCAGAAGCGATCAGCTATACAGCGTTCCAGAGAAGAATGCTTGAAAGAACTGTGGGCGATTACAGGTAATTATATTTAAAAAGGATTGATGAAAATAATTTATCATAAAAGAAAGTAGAAATTCAAAACGTCTGTAAAATTGTCAGTCATAAAAATTCAATTTGCCATTCAAGAATAAACAATTTACTATTATCTGGGTAGCCAAAGTTGTTTTAGGATGTCGTATCGCGACATAAATGATTGCGCGGGAAAGATGGACGCCTGAATATTTTATACGCGGCCTTATTTCAAAATTCAAATTGAAGTTGGCCGAAGAAATTGTGCAAACCGTAGTATTGTGTTTTATTCGTTTATCTTTCGTATATTCAATTAAGTAAATGGCTTTAACGTAAGACGCTAAGAAATATGAAAATGGTTTTTACATTACCTTGTTGGATTTTACGATAACACATGTTTAATGTAACAAGCAACTTACGTTACAACCGCTACAAAGTTCTCAACAGGTTAAAAAACTGTTCCTGTTTGCGATTTCGTATTCATGTAGTTTTTAATTGACATAGAAAATATTCAGCGACGTCGGTTAATATAGAAGTCACACGCAAAGAAAATGGACGCTTTAAAGTTAAAAGAGCTGATAGTAGATAATATAAACTTTTAAAAGTAATAAAAAGGTAAACTTTTAAAAGTAAAAGAACTTTTAAAAGTAATAGAAAGGTAAAAAAACAATGAAATACAGCTTTAGAAACTTTTTCTGTAGATAAGCGTCTTTGTGATTTGATTGTTTTATTACTACGAACACTATATTTTTATTATAATAGCAAAGTTATAAATAAAAATGTTTGCAATATTATTTTATCAGGCGCCGGAACAAATTTTCTTCAAATAATCGTATACTACACCGTTACAGCCTACAGGAATTACGTGCGTTGATTTTATTATACGCTAAAGAGTTTCGATATTATTGTAAGAATAGAATTTCGATAGATGGTATGATATTTAAGCACTATATAATAATGCTTATTGAAGATATAAGAACTAAATTAGTAGGTAAATTGCGTATAAGGAGGATTTTAATTTAACATATGTATATAAAATCTATTTTAATAATTAAATTAAAATATACCTATAATTAATTGAAAATTTCACGCTAGTGAAGTCAGATTAATAAGGAACAATAGTTCTTGTTAAATACTTCCGCTACTTTAATTCGACCTTTCAACGATATTAATTACTGTCACGTCGTTTCAGTTTAAAATTTATTTTGCAATTTTTCTATTGGCTGACCAGTTATGTACAGATGTGTTTTGGAAATGAACTCGGAAATTTAAATTTGGACAGCATTTTTATGAATCGTTTTTAAAATTTTATGTAATTACAAGTACGGATTTTTTGTTTGTGATAGTCTGTTATTGTAATTTTTGGTAAGAAAAACTAGGTTATTATAAATTGATATAAAAACAACGATACAAATTAAAAGGAAATCTTTAACACATAAGTTTACGATAATAAGATCTTGTTTATACTGTGTATGGTACCTAATGCTATTTAAAATTAAGATAAACTAACAAAGACTAAAACACTAACTAATCTTTGTTTGAATGTAAAACAGTTAATCAAAACTTAGAATCACTATCACGTCCTGAAACCTTACAACACGTTGGAAGGACCGAAACGAAGTAATTAGATTCTATTTTCATACCGAAAACTTTTGTTTCAAAGTTATTAATGACCGACAGATGGCGCTGACCGCCCCCATTGTTGGTACCCACAAAGCAGTACCATTAACCGATATCAAATGGGCTACAAAATAATATCAAAATTTAATTGATCTATCATGTATTAATAAAACGATTAATATTTTAATTAAATACATATAGATTTATGGATGTTAAATTCTCTATTTAATTATTACGTGCTTTGTGTATGATATGTTTTTGATCATTATAATATTTTATTATGAACAAATCATAGTTCTACATATGTGAGACGAGTTTCAGATTGTGACATATCTTGAGCGTTTTGTTTTCTCAGTATGTTACAATCAGCTCTAAGGATACATTACTGTTGGAATATCTTACTGTTAATCTCCTATACATTATTATAATACGATTCTTATATAGTATGGGTTTAGTGTTTATTATACGTATATTACATTTTTACCCGAAATCTCACCTACTTTACATAAAACGTTTAGTTTATTCTTGTTTTTAGTCATGTACCAAGATGATAACATCTTATTTTAATGTTTAATTATATTTATGACGAGACTAAAACCTGAAGTAAAATAGTACATAGTTATATGAGTGTTGAAAACCATTATCGAATTATATTTAATAAATAAATTATGTTTTTCTATTTCAACGTTAAAACGGATTGATGAAATATGATTTTTATAATAGGAATACAACTATCCTTGGTTTTTTATAACCTAATATTTTATTTTCATATTCGTGTCACATTTGAAATAAAAAAATCCTTTCTTGTTTCCTTCTCAATCTAAATTAATTTGCATATAAATGGAATCCAAAGCTTGAACCCTTTGCTTCGAAATCGTTACAATTATAAAAAGAATAATTAAAAAGTAATATCAGAAAGTGCAAATTTAGTTCACAGTAATTATAACAATGAACCCAGAGAGTTACCTCATACCATATATATATAATGAGAACTTCATACATAACTTTAACGATGTGGGCTCATTAAAAACGTATAATCGTTGCGGAAACGGTCTAGCTTCATCTGTCTCAGTGTGGCAGAGCGGCGGTTTAAAAGAATTATACATTATATACATCCACATAAAGATTATTGTAGGTACATAAATACTTAGTATATCGTATGAATGATAAAAATAGCCACTCATTAATCATTATCAATACTATTAATGTATAAAGAACATATAGTAATGTAAAAGTTATAACAGTATTGAATACTTCTGTATATAAAATATCTCAATTAATAGAATGTCCATCAAAGTAAATAAGACTCCTCAAACTTTATAAAGGTTTAGGTTGTTTATTATGTTAAAAGAAGTTTTTTACTTTATGGTATATTTCTTTAGTTACATTATCATTTCTCTAATACTATCAAGAATCGCATATCTCGAATGGTATGAACGTTTCAAGGAAACAATTTTTTCATGTATAACAAAAATTTGCCTAAATTCATTTATTTACGTTGTTAAAAATATCATTATAATATTTCCATCTACATTTTCTTTTGCGAAGTTTGTATGGGTATTATGAAATGATTTGTCAAATATTCCCCGAAACAATCGAATCTTCCAAGCATTACAGAGATTTGTTTGAAGAGATAGCCACGATCGGCTCGCCTCTTCGCTTTGTTTGTATTTATTGAAATAAATTGACGAGAATACGATATTACAAAGATATCATTTAACGATAATTGGTATATGTTGAATCCATTTCTTATACAAATCTGACAAATCTACTTAGTAATAAAATTTATGGAAGACTTTTTAAAGAGTTATATAATTAAAACAAATACATGAATTTCAATAACCACTAATAGGCTGGGATGTATTAAAAAATTAGCTAACTAAGCAAGGTTAATAATAAAATTTTCAATTACTTTTATTTTCTTATATAATAACTTTCTACATTTTTCTTATAAAACTTTTGTTAGTTATTATCGGAATTAACATTAGCTGACAAAATGATGTTTTGTCCTCTACACTAAATAATTTCGATTAAACGTGAAATGTTTTTGCTTATAATGATGTTATCTTTAAAAAAATAGTTTTAGTTTCGTTACCACTACATGGAATACACGTACTTTATTTTAAGTAAAAAATAAAAAGAAATTACAAATAGCTTATCAACTGAGTTTAGTTTAATTTCAGATTTCGGATGCTATTACAAATTTTTTTCATAGTTTTGATTGAAAGCATTCAATTTAAGTTGATTAAAACTGTCGAGTTGTCTAAAAGTGAGTTCTAACCAATTCTGTCCGTCCGTCGAAAAAATACGTTTCAGTTATGATTGAATTGAACAACGAACCTCGACTATTTCTCTTAGTTATCAAACTACAATGTCATAGCAATCCCATGTTTGTTGGTTTTAGTATGCTATATACTATCTATCTAAAAATACTACGAACTACGTAGTCGGAAGTAATAGTATATGACCGATCAATACGCTTATCACAAGTTTGCTTCGTCACTACATACGAAACTTTCCTCGTTTCCTATTCAATAACCTACGTTAATACTACAAAGTGCGTAGATTTGTGATTGAAAAACTATTAAAGTTATTCGAATGTGTCGATGCATACTTGTGTTAAGCGTATGGATATTAAAAATTACAAATTCATAATAGACATTCAAGTACTGAATGACAGAACAATGATATGATAGCCTTGGCCCTATTATAATGATGATGATCAAATGTAAAATGTTGTAAATTATTTGGTTTTGCTAATGCATTAACCAAATTGGTGATTAAATAAATGTACATATTTCAATGAACGTGTTCTATTTCATATGAATAGTCAACCCATTTGTATTGTTGGTAAATAAATTATTACATCAGCGTTATATTTTGTTAACAACAAAATTTGAGTTATAGGACTAAACATAAAAATAGCTTTATTAGAAAATTCAAAAATAGTTTAAAGAATAAAGTTATTACTCTGTTATTTTTTTTAATACTACGAAACGAGATTCGCATCAGGATATTAAATTTTATATAGCGTTGGATCAATAATTGTATAATTATACAACTAGTTAATTTTGAAAATGCTATAGAAGAAATTTATTTCATCAAAATCGAGATGTTCCACATCCTACATCCGCCGTCATCACTTCGCTCTTAATGTAATATCAGTCTATTGGTTTACGATGTTTGCAGAGATAGTAAGGGAAATATCTGAAATAGAATATTTATAAAAACCTTATTACTATTATTATTAAATTCGAGGATTTCCATATTTAATGCTGTAGAGAAAGAATGGAACTATGTATTGTCTTCAAACTTGAAACAGTCAGAATTGAACACGCCGTCAACAAATTGAACACCTCTTCTCTTACAAAATAATATTAAACCTAATGATTTTGATAGAACGAGTACCTATTTTATGTCAAAGGAAATATTTGAGGATTCAATTCGTATGTACACAATTAAATCAGTGTACATATTATACATATGTTACAGGAAAGAACTAAGTATTAATATTAATAGATATTATATTCATATGTTTTCCGTTTGTCTTCATATTTAATGCACAAACAAATTTAAAAGGAGTCCTGTTTAGCTTAGATTGGTTATGGTTACTAGCTACGCAGGTGATAACATATTTCCTTTAGTTTAATCAGGCATAAGACCCCTTTTCGAGGTCTTCTTCATACATTCATCATTCATGTCCAGGAAACACTATTTCCATCAAATGACTGTTTCCTTTTTTTCCAACACAAGTAGATGTACCTGTCCCACAAATAGTTTTTATTGACTATAATTTACATAATTATTTGAACGTAATGTATTTGTCATCCCAAAACACGTATGTTGTTGCTATCAATAACTAAGGACTCAAAGTATTTTGTAGATATTTTTTTTTGTCTATTCTGTTATAACATATTATGGACATTTGTAACTTGTATCCCGTAGTTCCATGTTATACGCAAGATGAATTATAGTGGCAGGTGCAAAAATTTCCACTAATCTGAATAGAGCGTTGTCACGAACTATAGGTATTAATCATTGCTAGGACTTGCCGTTGGCAATGTTAGTATTAAATAGTTAATATAATAGGTGATATTTTTTATTTATATATAATACTGATAGTATTAATTATTAAATTAATTATTAGTATTAATGTAATGTAAAGAACCTGTGTATATATTGATAAAGGCAAAAGAGACAAAACCACCTCCCGCTAGAGACTTATTTAAATAAGAATATTTTTTTATTACTCTGTAAAACCAAAGTTAAATTTCGACAAAACAAATGACCTTGTTTACACCTCATAAATATTGAGAAAAAAATTCTTTACATTATGGACTTTCACTATGGACTTTTACCATTTTAAAATAAGTTAAATACATCAACTAGTATATGAATAACTTGATTACTTAATTATTAATTTAATTATTAAAAAGGTAGTACAGGACGGCTTAAATGATAAAAAATCATGTAAATAGTTATAATTTACAAGATATTTTCCAGTACCGATTTTAGTAAAACATCTAGATTTGTCTAAAAGACGTTTTTTGTTGTGTGACTCTGTTATCTTTTGTGTGTTGTTTCTTCGGAAACAGCTGTTATAGAAGGTGGATGGGTTCCTATTGATTCTGAATATGGATTTTCCTTAGGATGAGAAGTCAGATTTGGTGGATGAGTTCCACTAGGTAATGGTATCTGTCCAGGTGAGGCTGTAGTTTTACCGTCAGTGTTTTCCCTAGGCACTATCGGTGTTTGAATATTGCCTGAAGTTGCCATAGATGTCATGGAAGTCTTATTAGGTGGATGAGTTCCACCGCCTGAAGTTGTCATAGTCACAGTTGTCATAAAGCTAAATTTATGGATGTATCCGCAAGTGGCACTTCATTTAATACGGATGTTTCGATATTTATCATTTGTCCAGGACCTAGGGAAATAGCCTTATTGGTAATGGAACTTCTTTCAGCCATCAAATTATTATTGTCAGGAACTGAAGTTGTTTCTGACGAAAATATTTCAGTTGCAATATTAGTTGAGTTGGTGCTTGAAAATGGTCTTCTATCTGTAAAATTGGAAAATCCTGGTGTTGTCATACCGGAAGTTTCAATAGTTTGTCCTGTACTTTCACTTGCTGTTAGAGGAGGTTGTTCGTTATTTTTAGGAGTAGGTTTTAGATTTGAATCGGTAACTGCTTAACCATTTCTAGGCTATATATATGATAAGTGTCTTACTTTTACTTCAAGCTCATTACTTTTTAAATGTTGTTTTATCAAGGAAAGTTTATAGTAATTAAATTAATTTTTTAGGATAGTGGGAGAACTAGTTTAGTAAAACAAAAATATATATCCTGTTAATTATTTACTTCTATTGGCAAAACCGGACACCTTTAATTGTCTCGTACATATTATACGATTTACTGATGCAATTTTTGTACTAGTATAAGTTTGGCCATAGAAATTGGTTATAAAATAAAAACATATATATTATTTTAAGAAATCATTTTAATACATAAAATACAGCTAAATTCGGAATGAAAAAAATATTTAAGATACATATTTTATATTTCATTACGTTGAATTACATTTGACATAAAAAAGTTTTATTATAATATATTTAATACAAAGTCTGTTCAGGAGAAGATGAGAAGAGTGTAAGATTTAACAATACTATATACCTTGATTGTAATTTTGATTCCTTAAATGTATTACAGTAGTTATATTCACCTCTACTATATTTAAATTAATTTTTGTGACAATTTAGGTTTTTGTTCTATCTTCGTCTGTCTGGCTATCTTTAGAAGCCTCACTGTTTTCTGTAGAAGATTCTTCTGTTTGCTCCGGGGTTTCTGATGTCGAGCTACTATCCTCTGTTTTGACTGTTGTAGATGTACCGTTATCTGGATTTGAATTATTTGTATCTAATTTCTGATTATTGTTGTCGTTTCCACTTTTATTATCTGGAGCTGGAGTTGGATCGGTACATCCATTTGGCTTTTTTCGTGGATACAATTGACAAATGTTACGTAATACTTCTGGTGGTTTAACATTAACAATGGCTTGATTTCTTGGAAGAAGGATTACAGGTGATGAGGTTAACTTTCTTTTTTTGAATTCTCGTTGTGCTAAGTTCACAAAGTAGTGTACTTTATTTGTGAGGCAATGATTGTACTTCACACTATTTACTGGGAAAAGTTTGATGCAATCAGTGGCTCCTTTCCCTGACGCCTCGCATTTAAGATATTCAGCTTGAAGATATGTATTTTTATTCAACTGCATCAGTACACACTGTCTTGGTCCCGAATTTTTTCCACTGTCTTTAAAGTGATACTTTAATCTTATCTCCGATCCTATGTTATCAACTATCCAAGGGAACGTGGTTTGAAAAAAATCTAAGTCATTTTTGTTGGTAAAGTCAGAATAAATAGTTATTAGTTTTTGGCTGACAATTAAATTTAAGGCAAATAACAAAAGAAATGTTACAGTACACAAACTCATATTGATACGAAACTTGTTTATTATACAATGAACTTGTCTGTATGGTATAAATAAACATATTTTTATGTAAATAGTTTAAAACTAAAGAACTATTGAAATTTTAAATATGAAGCCGTAAATTGTCTGGAATCCACATCGTAAAGTAAAAGAATTTAATACGTATCCACAACAATTATGAAGAACTATTTCACTATTTAGAGTTCCGTGTTACCAGAAGACTGCTATTAAAATAATAATCATCATATGTGGGTGTTATCATTTTTAGAATTTTCGTATTACCTTTAAAAAAACACATATACTGGCTATTCAAACTATTATAGAAACCTCTTAACAACAATGAAATATTATGATGTAATTTTTATTATATAAATAACATTTAACCACGCATCTCATTAAGAAAGCACATTTTTCAACAATATTAGTGGGAGTAGATCACGAATGAAATACTATAGCTATTTGTTTTGTGTAAAATTATGATAATAAAGCCATTAAATGCAACCATGGCATGTCTGGGAAATATTACAGGTCTTTTCGCGGAGTTATAAAATTAAATATTATGATTTGGGATGGTAATTTTTTTGATTTACTTCCATATTGTTCGTATAATGTATTACATTTTAGTTAACTCTATATGATAGTACAAACATAGTGCATATGTATTTCATTAACATATCTGAATAAACGTAGAATGTAATTTATATTGTGAATATTCCCAATAGTGTTCTTAACAAGCTGCATGAAAAGCTGATAATAGCATTTTCTCATATTTTACGCTTCAAGCGGACGCTCAACGAGAATTCAGTGACGTAGCCTAATGACCGATAATGCAGTCTAAGCTGGAATTAGTTGAAAAAATAGCTATAACTTAAATGTTTCTTTTAAAAGAATTAAAATGTAGTGTATTTTTACACCACATTATAATATAACAATATATGTTAATTGATACCTACAGCATATCTCAATAATTTATTACTCTTTATGGAGTATTGTTTTTATCACTATTAAAGTTAATATGTGATTTTTAACTAAATTAGTTATTTTAAAGATAATAATTAATTCTACTTTTTGAAACTCAAACCATTTTTCGAAACTAAGTATTAAATATTATTGAAATTAATAACAAATCAATTTTAGTCACGTTATATTTATTATAACAAAAGAGCAAGATTCTGTAAGCTTTATTTTAGAATAGAAGTCAAGCAAAAATTGGGTAAGTCATTAACGTTTGAAAAGGGAACAGTAGGATGGCAATTAAGAATTTAGGACAGAGTTGAATGCAAAAATACTATTATACAAGACATATGATTCGTTAAAATTTAATTAAATGATTATAAGATTTATCTTTTCGATGAAGTTGATAAATGTTAAATTAAGGTGATAAAAATTTAGGTAATAATAAAATGCTGTAATATTTTTTGGGCCCTATATTTATTTTAAGACACTTATTATCAAATAATGACCCCATAATCTCTACGGCAAATGTCATACAAATTGAACCACCATATAAATTACTAAACTAGGTACTTTTTTGAATATGTAGGATAATACCGGGGTAGATAAGTAAAATAATCTTAAAGTATGTAACCATTATATATTATACTTATAATTCATACGTATAACATTTGCTGCGAATTATAAATATTTTTTTGTGAGAAGTAAGTACGTTTCTTCATAGCATTAAATTCTACACGACGGAACCATACGTTATACGATAGAGTAAAATATAAAAATATTATTAAATATATTACAATATATTACAATATTTAATAATATGATTATTCGTTATATATTACGTATATTTTTAACTAGTACATGATAAAATTCATAACAATAATGAGAATCTTTTAATATATCTCACTTGTTTTTGATTGAATAGATATTGTTACCTGCCTACATTGGTATAAAAACGAAGTGGTTAACGAAGCATAATTTTCATAACAACAATATATCTTGTAAAAAAATATCCCTTTTTTCTATCGAATATCTAAATTATAGGGTATATTAAGTTTAATTGTATGTACAGACACGACAACTTATACTAAATCAGTTTGTATTATATTTTTTAAGATCATTTTTAGTAAGTGTTCGTTTTATTTTTATTTTTAGTCTTAGTTATATTTTTCTGAATTTCATTTAAACAAAGGTCATGCTTTACTAAACAAAAGGTGTGGGACATTTGTAAGGTTGTGTTTTATTGTCGGCGCCGCGCTCCACTTTATCATATAAAGTTGGTAAAATCATGAAACTAGTTTTATTTTTGAACCAGTTACTAAAACCAGAATATTTTCTTAACAAAAGCCGTATTGTTCTCGTTTCACATTTCTATTTTTTAAATCTGTTTTATGTTGCATCATAGATTTTGTGTTTTCACAATGTGGTTTTTCAAAATAACTGTGTAAATTCGTGAAGATATGACTGTATTCCCTACAAAAATATTTAACGATCATTCGTCACAAGGCCATAAGGCCGATAAATAGTACCCAAGTTGGTTTGTGTTTCAAAGATTAATAAGTAAACTGCCTTATTAGAATCGAACCGTGAGAACTTTTCTTTAGTAATATTAAAGCAACTTAGTTTAGGAACCATTAATTTTCAAGCTATAATAATAAGCGTGTCAAACATTTATTTTACAATAAAATATTTAAATTCAGATCAACTAGTTTACTTATATTAATGTTATGTTTCTCAGTTATTTCATGACGTTGATGATAATATTATTTTGGCCTATTTTATAACATTTTAGAAATCTGTGTTAGATCATACAATTTGAACCCAAAATGTATGACATAAATTCAAGGTATATCTTTGAAAAATAGTCTTTTATAAACAAAATATACCTTAACTTAAAAAATTATAATAAATAACAATAACATTGAAATTGGGACATAATTTAGCGTTATTAAAAGAAAAAACTATTTAGGATGCCAGCACTATTGAATATCATAGGAATAATGTACTTTTTTAGTGTTTAAAGAAATACGACTTAAGTTTATTTGAATCACTACTAAGTTGATATAGCTGACGAGGAGATTTGATATATTACATCTTATAATCTTGGAATGTACTAAAAATTTGACAAGCTATTGCTTATGCCAGGATAATAATAATTGGATCGGTTATTTGAGAATCTTAATGAAAATTAAAATTACTATTTTTTGAAGTTAACTTAATTCTATATACATATGCCAAATAGTATTTGTACGTTTTATTAAACATAGTGGTAAATGTATTAAATCTCTTCCTTTAGTAGGTACAATATATCAGAAAGGGAACTTTAATACTTTTATATATTAAATGTTATGAAAGTGGTGTGTCTCACATCTTAATGCTTATATCTAGTGCGTATAAGATATGATTATGACCTAAATGTGGATGTCAGTTACGAGATATCTAACATTATGGCTAGATGTTGGCGACGGGCCAGCCATCGAAACCAGCCAAAGGCTTTTTCAAATGTGCTCTATATTTGCCTTCGTGAACTTTGGTAATGAGATTTTTGAGATACATCTGATAGTGTGAAATATTTTAACAAAACATTTATTTGTGCTGAAATGTTACATACTTCCATTGTTACAAATAATAACTTGACCCAATTTAAAATTATATTTAAAAATAAGCATTAAAATCAGTAAAAACACGATAGACGATAATTTAAATTGTGAAAACAGATCCCACATCTCATATCACAGTTAAATCTTATAGAAATTATAATTTTTTATTCAAGTATTGAGCTTGATATTGCAAAAAAAAAAAAACAATTTGATTGCGTATGTTACTACTAAAGTAAAACAGAAATGTTTCATTTTCAATTTACTTTATATCTTTTAAATACATTTCACATTAGGCCAAACAAAAAAAGCTCAATATTTATACCAAAGTTATATACCTAGAGACAATTTTCACCACTCCGGAGATAGATAATAATGATTAATGTATTCATTAACCCTTTCATTCCTAAATGTTGATAACTCTGAAGGTTTACATAAAGTAATTTGTGAATTCACATCTAGTTTATAACAAAACCAACCGCTCTGTGAAAAATAAATAGCACTTAACAAAAATTATACCGGCCTGTCTGAAAGTTTTACTATATCTTGCAACTTCAAAATTACTTTTTGTGACTGGCTTTTTTTGTAGTGACAATTAAAATAACTATTTTTCATGTCAACTTTTACAAAGCTAGTTAATTTAGAAAATAGCCCTACATGTTGTCGGTAGCAGGAAAAAAGATCGTATTATAATGAAAAAGGATTATTACGGTTCAGTCTTCACGGGTATTGAAAATTATTTATCTTTTTCTACAAAACTTGTGGTTTTAGTTAAATTTAGTTTTAGTTGTGAGGTACACATGGTGAATCAATTAGCGTTAAACTACCTAATTAGTTAACAAAGCTGGATTGACGTAAGCAGTTTCTCACTAATTGAAATTTACCGAAAAGATTCAATAATTTACCTATTATAATGTCACATTACTATTCCATACAGACTTCTTAAACGTATTAGCAATACCTTCTAAGTGTAATTTGAAAGCTAATTGGCTATTAACCGATGGCATATGTTCGTCTTAGCAGTTATCATGTCGGGTCAAGTAATTCTCTGTTAATGGAAATGGTTTATTGGCTTACAATTTATCATGATTGATTTTTATTTTTGATTGAGCCACTTTTTGTATTATTTGTGTTTACATAACATTGAATGTATTAAATACATTTTATACTATCTTTTTGACATTTGGTAGTCAATCCGTTGTCTTGGTAACAATAGGCAAAACAAAATGATGA